TTCAGCATTCTCTTGCTTTTCATTGGGCTGAACATACAAGGCTGAAAGATTCAGTCCCTTGAATTCCTAGAACAAATAAAAAACACAGCAGTAAAAAGCCCCATGTTGTAACTACCACAAAGAATAAACAGGATTTAGCAAACCTCTTAATAGGCTTTATGAAGTGGCACCATAGCCATGAGGTAGCTTCAAATTCTTGCAGAAATTGCTTTACTAAAAGAACCAACTCTTCTGCCAGCAGCAACACTTCTCAGCAAAGTCCCCCTGCCCCCAAAACTGGACATACACATGCAAAAATTCAATCACAGGATCTAATCCTACCAAAACTGCATTCTGATCTACTGAATAAAACAGGCAGAAGCACTCCAGCTGTGATGCCCAGATTTCTGCTCAGATATGAGATCCTGGCAGTACTTTTCCAAGGGTTTTCATAATCCACACAGGTCTTGGTGAAACTGAGCTGAGACATGCAGATCAAGACACAGATGAGCTTAAAGCACAAATGCTCTGTGCTGGCTTACAACTGGATTGTCTGTCCAAGGCACAACAGGCAATCTACCATGGTTACACTGTCCAACATGGCACATTCCACTGGCAAAGCAAGAGAGGTTTTAAACCAAGACCATTTCCATAACTCAGTTTGTTAACAACACAACCAATTTTCAATGCCTAGAGCACAGAAGGCCAAACAATTTAACTATGCTGTTCCTCACTCAGCTGCCCCTGCCACTACGTAGCACTACTTTAAGTCAGACAACAAAACCTAATCAACTGACTCTCATTAACTGGCTGGATGAATCAGGAACCTCAGTTTAAGACTAACAAAACTTGTGGGAATTAACAAGGGGTAGTGAAGTAATTAACACATCTCTTAACTTGTCAATTCCATCTCAGTTTGGCTTCATGCTCAAAGTACCTGCAGCTGTTTTACTTTTCCCTGTTATTTACACAAGACTTGTGCCAGCTCTAGATGAATCTGCAACACTAACAAGCTAATCAACTTCTAGAAGACAGGCTGAAAATAATTTGTTCTACTAAACCAAAACATCTCTGCTGAATCACCAGATTCCACACTCGCCTAAAAGCAAGCTCTCACCAGAGAGTCAGACACTCTGGGATGCAAGCTACAGGAAAGCAGGGGGATACCAATTTTGCTCTCTACAAAACTACTTGCTTCAAGGTAAAGATCTTCCCATTACAAGCACCCAACCAGAAATCCTCTCCTTGCCTCTCCTTCATGTCAGCAGCACACACCTCCCTCCTGACCTGGTAAGGAATGTTCCTTCGACAGATGTGAGCATATCCCTCATCCCTCAGGACAGAGTGGAAGTAGACATCCTGCCCAGTGGATGTGTCACACAGGAAGAAGTACAAAATGCCATTCGCATATTCATCCACGATGCCCACGACTAACTTGAAGTGACAGAGATTCTTGAACCGGAGAGTTGCCGCAGAGGACCAGGTACCCTGGAGAAGAAACAAGAATGTAAAGCTGCTACAAACACAGCAACATCTACCACTTGAGACTTTCCCTTGTGGGTAGGCACTTGTCAAAAGGCAACTGAGCTAGGCCAGGCTACTGACAAATTCACCAATGATTTTATCACAATTGCCTAAAATACAGTTTAGTGACTTTGTTTTGTTTTCGATGGGATTTTACAAATGTTAGAAGTATCAAAAGTTATTAAGAAGCTGCTAAGCCTCACCACGATGAAAATTGTGATTAATCCTCAAAAACCAGAGGAAATAAATTTTTTTAATGACATCTTTAAAACAAAAAGGCAGCAACTCTACTCACATGCTTTCCTTCAGAGATTGTGTTTCTCAGGCTTCTTGATCAAGAGGTTTCCCAGCACAGACAAACTTTCCTATGACCTCTGTAACTCTGTGGCTGTGCTAACTGCATCAAACTAACTCACTTAAAGCTCTGTCACTTCAGATTTTTTTATAAAACAGAGGGCTGAAGCTACCAAGGCTTCAGAAGGACCCTGGGGAACTATTGGCAGGGGAAGGAACAAGTTTGCTCATTTGCTTAGCAGTAGCCATCTGTTTCTGCAGG